GAAAAGAATGTACAAATAACTTCCTTTAAGTATATGAGAAATAGGGTGACTAATATTTAAACATTTTACTAAAAGTTGCAGTTGAGTTGAAGTTTTATGTTACGTCACGATCTTCTAGTTTGACAGATGCGTTCAAGGTAAATAGTATACGCCTCCTAACCGCAAGCTTTACGACTGGAACTTTCTTCTAATCCCTGATTGTTTGCTTGTACAACAAACTATTTCTGTGTCAAGGTTGATAATATGAGTTAATCAATCACATGAATTGTTTACGCTGAATGCATCTGTCAAAAAAGATTGCGACGTGATGCAAAACTTCACACTGAATTAAAATTGATAGTATAAATGTATAATTAAAAGTTTAAAACAAAGTCAACACAAAAACAAAAGAGACAAGAATAAAACTAAACATGTAAAAGACAAAAAAAGCAAAAAGAATGGAAAGACTGCACATATTGTCAGAATTTCAGTCCAATGTCAAATAAGCCATCACTGAAAAAAATAATTAGTGAAAGTCACTGGGAAAACTAGTAAATTTACTGTCCATACAATCACTACCTTAAAAGTAGTTTTACTAGGTATTGGGTAGATTTACTAGATAACATTAGTAAATCTAAGCATTCATAAGTAACTTTCACTAGGTATTTAAGTATCTTTACGACCACTACTCCACTTTTCACTATCTTAGCTAGTAAACAGAGTTATAACTAATCACTGTCCATACAATCACTACCTTAAAAGTAGTTTAACTAGGTAATTCTATCATTGATTAAATATCTGAAGTCCAAAGTCAAAGGTGTAATGAGTTAGTTAGGTGTTTTGTGAATTTATATATATATATATATATATATATATATATATATATATATATATATATATATATATATATATATATATATATATATATATATATATATATATACATGTGTGTACATATGCATTTTATCCTATCACAGTATAAATTTTCAAAAAAGTAACAATAAAATAAAGTCGTAAACAATGTAACACTAAAATAAAACACCTAGATATATTAACCTGAAAATCTCCCTACAGTTGTCAATTTCTGATATAGGAACTCCCTGTCCCTATCATTGACTGGCCTATTTGTTTCCCTAGTAATTTTTGACAAAAGTTGAAAAATGGAGCATAATACAACACTGAATGGTTTTACATATACCATGCTAGCTGCAGATCTGTAGCTTGCTGGTCTGAAAAAATTAGGATGGACGACCAGAGAGATACAGTTCCATCCATTGAAAAAAGTGTATATTGCCCATAAAAAATGTGCTATTTCTCTATTTTTTATATTTTCACTTTTGGGGTACTGTCATTTTTTAATATTTTGCACCATTCATGAAACAGTCATAATAAATGCATACCTGTAATTTATAAACCTGTCAGGTGCAGGAAAAAGTTCTTCCATCGTCTTAGTTTGACGAGAAGGCGCACTCTTTGGATGCTTAATCCAACTCTGGCGTACATCAGTTTTGCTGACATTTTTGTACCTGTATCAACATGTTCCATAAATTTACTAAGTTATATTATAGTCTTGGGGCCTAAAGTTAGATTTAATAGTTACAAGTATGCTTATATATGCCAAGGTAGTGGACTTGGAGGTTCCAGGGCACGAATAGTACCCTGCTACCTACAGTCACATGGTGCACTGCACACTAGATAGAATGTTCTATCGTTAAAATGATATTGTCCTACGGACCCGGTTTAACGATAGAATTCGTTCCGTGTATTCGTAATGTAGCAAAAGAAACACGGGCGATAACTCGCATAGTGCATTTACTAGGAACAAAGAGAGTATCCGAATGTAAACATGGCAGGATTTGAATCGAGAGAAAAACGTTGAGAAAATTATATTAGATTTTCGTATTTATATGGATTATTTTTTGGGATAAAAGGCATAAGCAATCTCAAAAAGGTTTGTTTTGATTATTTGGATAGTTATTTCCAGTGCAAATCATTTTATATTCTTCAAAATCGTTTCGGAGCGGATCCGCTCCGATTTGCTACATTACAAGTATATGGGACGTATTCTAACTGTGGTGAGGGCTTGTACCGAGACACAGTTTGATTATTCTAACTAACTGCACACTTGTATATACCGGGTATATATATTGGTGTGCATGTTTTGATATAATTTCTATTTAACATTAAATTTAACTGGTAAAGCATACCTAAAACAGACCAAGTGAATTTACATATTACATAAATTGCATATATATTACCCATAGAGAAGAATGCTGGCTTTATGCAATTATGGTGACATTTGTCCATCCCATTTACACATTCACAGGTACTCTGTTCAACTGTGTAGTTAGAACCAAGAGTAATCTAATAAAATATAAAAAAAAAAATAACCACCTAGAATTTTACTTATATTACTATTAGTTCTAAAAGTAAAAAGCATGTTTACATGGAAACTTGAAAATTGTTGAGAGAGAAAAAAAAGAATTGTATATTAATTTACTATTATGTATTAAGACATTGCAAAGACGCTTTCAGTCAAGGAAATTCGGAAAGAGGTTTGTTCTGGATTTATTGCATAGGCAGGATAATACATATATACTTCCAAACGTGTTGTACATTATGCATTATTTCGTGATTTACACAAAAGACTTTAAAAAAAACTTTTCTTTCTTCCAAAAATCTCAAAGAAATGGGATGAACTTACAGTAACCTGGTAGCTCAGCTCCGGTCTGGAGGCTTGGACAATTCCCCTTATAAACTGCGCATCTTTGTCATACACAAACTTTAAAACGTGGTCAGATTGTACGGCAGTCTCCGATTTCCGCATAAGTTTCGTTGTACCAGCTGTATAATTTGACCAATATAGAATGGAGAACGCCATACCGCAATCGCGTATACCTTGTGTAATATGGCGTCCTCTTTGTTTATCTCCAGAAACAAAATCTCGCGATGTCTCTGGGCACTGTGTAGGCCTGTTGCAGTTCCTTCCATGAACCACCTGCATCATTCGGGACTCCTCGTTTGATTCGGTTTGCCGAATGAGTGGAAAATTTAGCCTGGTACCCTGTCTCATCCTTGCCGAGGCAGTGACCCAGAGTAAACGAAGCAAAACAGGGACAGGAAACCAGGCTATGCGTAGGAATTTGTTCAAAGTTTTCTACTAAGAACAAATGTATTTTTGATAACTGCACAATAATAATTACAGTACAGTTTATATTCACATTTAATTAATCAGATTATGAGTATAAACTGTTTCAACAGCGATTACAAGTAGATACACTATATTTCAGAACGTCAGTTTAATTTGGCGACTATTGGGTCAACATCCTGCCTTGAACAGGATCCCTTAAGCCGGCTATTGCTCTTTGAGCAATAAGCCCGGCTAAAAATGGTATGCATTAATTTCGCGAACGTTGGATTCCTACCAACTCTAACTGATGAACAATCCAGTTGTTACTTATTTCAATCCAATCCAATTGTTACTACAATTGCTACTAGTTATTCTATGTCCTTTCTCAAAGGCATAGATGCCAGTTACTAAATGGTTCTCTTGTCTAGCCCTTAAATAGAAGCAGTACGCTATATTGATGCTGGCTGAAATATGACGCATTTTCTGAGGACTACAGTGCATGTAGCAATAGCTGAAGACCCCACCCTTCATATAAAGTCTATAATATTTACAGAGATTTTTTTTTAAAAATGTGTTACTTAGAAGGGTAGGAAAACAAAACCCATTGCCGTGCTTTGATACATTCACAGTAGTTTAGTAAATAATTTTTCTGTATTTTTTTTAATTTATTTATATTTGGGAGATGTCTTCATGTATTTTTATATCCATATCCTCTTTTAGAATAATGGCCAAGGGATATATATGGCACGCCAAATTCACAAAAATGAGATAAACCTAGTTTCACATTTGATAAACTAGGTTTATCGACTATAAACTGTAGTTTACAAACCGTAAACTATAGTTAATGATTCGTTAAGTATAGTTTTCATCTGTAAAACTACATTTAACGGTTGTTAACTATAGTTTACAAATGATAATCTAAGTTTATCTGTCTGTAATAAGCGTTAACAATAGATTTTGTTGATAAACATAGATTCACGTTTGTAAACTATAGTTTACAATCGTTAACTATAGTTAAGAGTTGTTAATCATAGTTTCACAAATCGTGAAACTATATTTATCAGATCATTAACTATAGTTAACGGTTTGTAAACTATAGTTTACAAATCGTGAAACTGTATTTATCAGATAATCTATGTTTTGCAATCGCAAATGATAGTTTTCGGTGTTAAGTATGGTTTACGGTTGTGAAACATAGATTATCGCGTTAACTATAGTTTACAGATGTAAAATATAGATTAACGTTGTTAACTATAGTTTACAGTCCGTAAACTATAGTTTACAACCGATAAACCTAGTTTATCGATTGTGAAACTATGATTATCTCATTTTTGTGAATTTGGCGTGCCATAGATATACTTTAAAGATATACTTTAAAGATACAAGTTTTTTGTTTCATTAATGCACGGAAAAAGAGAGATAACCCAGAAATACAGTGCGTATTGTATAATATTTTGACTAAGATGCGTAATACTCTATATTTGAGTCCTCCTTTTTCTGACCCCCATTTTGTTAATTGTGTTTTACTTTTCCGTCATTTACTTTAATAAATGACATATTTCACTTCAGCATGATGTTATTTGTTTTTGCCTGTTTATCAAAAAACAAGCTCAGTCGTTTGGCAGGAGAACTAAGGAACATAAATAAATGTTGTTGACGGATAACTCAGTTCCGACTCTTCTCAATCTACAGTTTATATGAACGATGATGATACATGGATAGCAATGAAAGGGTCAAGTTTCGATAACGGTGCTTATAACAAGCTTAAATAGTTTAATTATTAAATTGTTGAAACCTCAAACACCCATGTTAACAATTTATGAGATAGATTATGTGTCATCTATTACAATGTATATATTTCCTACCGGTTTCGGAAAAGAAACCAGGAAGAAATTTATATAAACATGGTTTTGTTTCACTATCCTAACTTAAGTAAAAATACTATCACTGTTAAACGATCGTGATGTCGTTTAACTGGACTTTGTCTTTGGTTCTTTTTTGTATTGGCTTCAACTCTGTATATTGTAAGTATGAGTGTTCAGTTTTTATGATATCCATTGAAAGTATTGTTCATATTTTATAGCATTCATGATAACCTCAATGCATATATGTACTCCGTTTAATTATTACATACAGTTATCTTCATAAAATGTGCATTAAGGTCAGACGAGACGTTCCTCAATATCTGTTTTGTATATCATTGTAATATATGAAAAATATTCAAAATTTTAATTACATTCTGCTTTCTAAACCAGTTTCTAAACGTCTTTTAAAAATCCAGACACTTAAACATATCAAATTAGAAAATTATTTTTCTTCCTAAAAGGATTATATAAGAAAAACTTCCCCTGGTATCTTGCAGAAATGCCTGGTAAGGTACCTCAATTTTTTGTGAGTAAACATGTTTAAGTAGTAATACTCTTGGAAAATTTTATCTGTTATTAAGGAACGTCTCGTCTGTCCTTAATAAAAGTGGGTAGAGTATTTATAAACAAACCTTAAGTTATTAAAACGACAATCCTTGCTTATTATGCAATCATGTCTTATGGTGACAACATTTGGGATTATATAGGCAAATCGGTAAAAGGAGGAAAGCGAGTGTAACACGCAAATTCAAAGAATTGAGCACCCCGCTTTCGGTGTCTTTGTGGGTGAGATGTCATTATATTTATGGCATATTGAGTCAAATATGATTACCCTATCATATGTCTATTAGTAGTAATCATCAAAATAAAAATTTTTAAAAATTAGGTCAATCGTGAAGGTCAGAGACAAGGGGCCATAGCCTGCTAGGAAATAACTTGTCACAGGCAATGCACGTGACAAATATGAAAGCCCTTTTCTCAATCAAAAGTTATAAGGAAAAAATAACATTTTTGGAAAGTAGGACAAACTTCAAAGTCAAGGTCAGGAGAACCAAAATCATTGTTTATTTCGAAAGGTCTTGTCACAGACAATTATACAGGTTTAATATGAAAGCCATATTTCTTCTCATTCAAAAGTAATGACCAAGATAAAATTTTGAAAAGTCAAAGTTCAAGGTTAACGTCACGAGGTCAAAAATCACACTGCATTTTAAAAGGTATTCCACGGATAATACAGATGGTTAATATAAAAGTGTTGTTTCTTTTCATTTAAAAGTTATGGCCAATTCAAAGTAATGTTTAAATTTTTGAAAATTGAGTCAAGGATCAAGGTCAAAAGCATAGTGCATTTAAAAAGATACTGTTACAGAAAATACACATGTATAATATGAAAGCCCTTTCTCTTATCATTCAAAAGATGAGGCCAAAGTTCAAAATGTGACAGACGGACAGACAGACGAAGAGACGAATTAGATTTACGGACCCCTTGCTTTTGCACGAGCGGGAGACAAAAATATCGAGGGACAAAACTGAAATACGTAACTGATAACCTCACTGTATGTAAAATGCTTTATTTTTCCTATATCGCTACAATGCAAAAATAATGCTTATTTAAAAGAGTTTTGGCATTTGCGTCATATTGTTGTTTTAAAGATCGAATGTTAAACTTATACTTTTACACATGAGTTATATCCGGTCCCAAATCATGAAGTATTTGTTCACGCACATTTTTCACGTGCACATCTAAAATAAAAACTTTCACAATGTCCAATTTTTTTTTGGGGGGGGGAACAGTGTTTAGTGTATAGAACAAAATGCATAGTTTTTAAGAGATCATATTGGTTATCAATCACTTAGGATGAAGATGTCATGAAACATAAGTGCATGCAAGAACTGTTTTCAAAAGCAACTAAGAGACTAAATGAATAACAAGAAATAAACAAGACTATTAAGATTATATTATTGTCATATTTTCCTTTACAAATTCCAGTTATATTCCATATATCATCCAAATATCCTATTTGACATTTTCCCTTTTAGGAAAAACTGTAAACCTCTTTAATAATACATGACTGTATTTTGCATGTTCTTTTGAAAATAATTATGCCATCGTAATCGAAGATTCGGATGTATATAGTTTATGCCCCGTCCGTCCGTCTGTCTGACTGTCTGTTTGTCAGTTTATCTATTTGTCTCTCCACAAAAACTTTCATCTTGTCCGTGACTTTTGACTGAGTAGGGCTATGGCTTTCTTATTTCACAGGTGTATTTCTAGTGACAAGAACTGTCTCTGAGTACAACCAAATTTGACCTCTTGACCTTGATCTTGGAGTTTGACCCACTTTTACAAAAAATATATCAATATTTAACCTTGGTCATAACTTTTGAAGAGTTGACGTGAAGGCTTTCATACTTTAAATGTGTATTCATTGTGATATTAAAGATATATTAATTAAATATTTTTGACTTTGACCTTAGCGTTTGACCCACTTCGTAAAAACTTTCACCGTGACCATAACTTTTGAACACAGTCACTTTTCTTGTGCAAAGACTTTCCTTTAGATACCAATACCTTTGACCTTGCCCTTGAAGTTCGAATTGCATTTGAGAAACTCACCTGCACCATAAGCTGCCATACGGGGTCATCGGTGTTTCACGTTTTTACTTAGTTTTTATTACATACTTTTTATTTGTTCTTTCTTGAAACTTAGTTATTATTACGTACTCGTTTTTATTCATTCCTATTTGATTTATCTTGATGTTAATTAATTAATTTTGATTTTAATTACACTAGCTAAAACTAAACGTCAGCTAAGCTAGCTAAGCACTCTTCATACAGCTACATTAAACGTACATATCAAAAGCAACAAAAACGTAATATGTATGTTACATTTTAGCCATAACCAGCAACTAATAAGTTCGAACAAATAAGTAAGTCACTCATCATACTAGTATATTTTTAAAAAACACGTTTTAGTTCAATGTATTGAGAAGGATTGTGTTTGCCACTGCACGTGTTGCTCATTTTGCATTGAGACCTGTAAATACTGCTACAGGGAGTGGAGTGGTACGCCATCTAATGGATGCCAAAGAAGTAAGCATATACTCTTATCGTTTTATCATCAGATGAAGGTCACTGAGTACTATTTACTACCATCAACATTGAATGTTATTGTGCTTTTTTTTTTAAATTATTTCTCTTGCTCAAGAAAATTACCATATGAAACGAGTTTGTAAGTTTATATTGCTAAAAAAATGATAAATGGATTTCAAAAATTATGTAAAGGTATATTTGAATACATGATAAGGAAATTTAGCGTTTCCGTGCCGAGGTGTTTATAGTAAGCCAATTGAAAGAGTGTTTGTTTTGCACAGCTCCAAATGTTATCGTTAACTATGCATAGTTAAAAAAATATTTCTGAAGAACAATAAGGTCAATATCTCATTAATTTGCAACAATATGACAGTGTATGTTTGGAAAAAGTTATTCAAATATTTAATGGAATTTAATGAATGCACGGACACAGATTTGAAGTTAATATTTTATGTATAATAATTTAATCGCATTTCACACAAAAATAAATTAAAAATCTTATTTTATCTAAAAGTTAAACTAATTTTTGGATTGCTTTGATTGACACATCCTTACACTTTCATAAATTTTAATTTTATTCTTAATACTTAAAAAAAGGGTCGATCTTGATGTGTATTACATGTAATAGAAAATATTAAAACTTTGATTCAGAAAAAAAAATTATTTTCAGTGTAGAAATGTTCGAAAGTAAACCCCATTTACAGCTATCGTCATTCCGCACTTAGTGTTATGTAGAAAAGTTTAGCAATTAGAACTCACCCGTGAAACGTACACAGCTTTTGTATTTTGAGGGCACGAGCTCTGTTATTCTGCTCACCACAACTGCACGGACTGACAATATACTGTGTGTACGTTTTGCTTTCGAACATTTTACTCTGAATTTTCTGGATTATACTAGTAGTTTTAATATTTATTGGTAATCTAACAACCAAGCTATATGATAAACGTAATGACTTTACCTTTTTTATCGTCAACTTCTCTTACTTATGCAGCTATATACCTTCATCACCTGTATACGGAGTATATACAGGGTGGTGACAAAAGTGAGTAAATTTTCCGCCATTTTGAATTCTGATTTCCGAAATCGCGCTAATGCAAATAAAGTATTCAATACATACAGAGCTTCAAAAGTCGTTGTCATTTATAAGAATGATTTTTGATACGACTGTGTAAGCTCTTCTGTGTTAGGAGGTACAAGCGTCTGTTTCTACTATAGACCGCCATTAGTTTACAATGGATACCAAACGACAGGAAATGACAGAGGAGAAAAAAAACCAATTATTTTGGAGTTAATTGACAGCGGTTTCAAACACAGTGAAATATTTAAAGTATTGAAAATAAGTCCAGCAACAATATGTAGGTTTTTGAAGCGGTATCAAGACAGCGGGTCTATTGAAAATCGCCACCGATCTGGACGACCTAAAAAAAAAAAATGGACGATCGGAGTTGTCGGACACTTAATCGTATCATTCGGGGGAATTGGACATCAACGCTGGTAGATATTACTAACGAATTCAATGCATTTAACCACGTATCTGTGTCAAGAGTTCGTCAGGTTTCTTTGGCTAGAAGTAAGTTGACATGGACAGTAGTCCAAAACTGGAATAAGATCATATTCAGTGACGAAATGGCAGTAACTGTAAGTATGGAGAACAAAACGGGAGAAGTACCTTCCCGAGTGCATTGGCCACCTAAAGCGTCATACTGGCAGAAACTTGAAAGTAATGGTGTGAGGTTGTATTACTTACAATGGCCAGGGATTATTAACTTTTGTAGATGGAAATATGGATAGTGAGAAATATATAAAGTTGTTAGATGAGAACCTGTGGTCAGTCATAGCCAAATATTTCACAAACAAACCATACATGTTTCTGGATGACAATGTTCCACCTCATGCTTCAAGAATGACTAAACCCTGGAAAGAAAATAACAACATTCCAACCCTACCATGGCCTGCACAATCTCCTGATATTAATATTATTGAAAATATTTGGCTCATCTTAAAAAATCAAATAAAAATACACATGATGAACATTGACACAGTTGATGATCTGAAAGCAGTACTTCAGCATGCCTGGCTTTCAATCCCTTTAATGTACATACAGAACTTATATCCATCGATTCCTACTCGACGACTTCAGTTGGTTATCAGATCAAAAGGCCATATCACAAAATATTAAGTCAAAACACAACTCAACAGAGAGGTAAGTAGGTTTTTAAATAACTTGATTTGTTTACACACAAAATTCAAAATGGCCGCCAATTTACTCACTTTTGTCACCACCCTGTATATCTCAGTTGATTCGATACGCAAGAGCATGCTCTACGTATGAACAATTTCTAAAACGAGGTAAATTGTTGACAAGCAAGTTGATGAAACAAAAATATCAGCGGTCTCGTTTAAAGTCATCATTTCGTGTTAATCATCAATTTATCGTTGAGTCAAATGCTGACTGACGTTTTTCATACTAATTGTTAGTCCATTATTTATACACTAATTTGACGACGGATTTTTCCGATATTTCCTGATCATGAAATGGAGCACACGGTGGGTGCAGGGGATACTCACTCTTCCATGGCATCTGGTCAAACTTCTGATGTTTCGGAGGACCGTGTTTGCTCTGCTCCTATTTTGTATTGTTTTATGGATTTTGAGATTGAATACTGTTCGTTATCTTCATATCTTTCTCTTTCATTAATACACAACAAGATTGCATCTCTAGTTTATTTTGGTTTTTTAATTGATTAATTTTAGTTTAATATCTAATATAAATATGACTACTTAATTCTTATCTGTTGATATATTTTTATAACTTAATTACCATTTGCTTAATGTTATTTCTTGTTATTTAAAAAAGTTACTTAATTTTAATTTGAAACTTCCAGTTTGTATTGTAATTGAACACATGAATATAACTAACATCTTGTCTTGTGTTTAGTAATAAATTCAAAGGGAAAATATTTGTTTTCTTTTCTGAAACTACAAGTAAGTTCCACGTCTTTCGGTTTAAATAAACATGTGATGACAAAAATAAAATAACTCATAACACAAATAGCAATATTATCGATCTTTTTTCCCTAGGATATATGATAAAAGCAAGTCTGTTCACTACAATTCATCTAAAATACTTAAATTAGAACTGAACATTTCATTTTATAATAAACATTAGCCGATCTACCATGTTCTACATATCTTCTTTACACTTTGTTATCACTAACAACAAAAACGTCATACTAAATGAGTCATAACAAGTAATCAATGTTCCTCAAGGGCTTCCTTACTGGACTTAAATAATAGCCTACATACATATATACATAGTAAATCAAACAATGGAAAGCAGTCTTATTCAAAACTACAAAAGCCAAGAATTTACTACTACAAAACGGCATTTTCTTTAAGCATTTTAGATTTGAAATTTTGAATTTGTCAGAACATAATATGCATTCCAACACACAGCAACATGTAGATGATTTATTTTTAAGTGTTTAAATCGCCTATGTATTTTAATGCAATTGTAACAATAGTCCTATTTCCTCGTTATTTACCCTAGACTTTCAACATACATGTACACTCCATTCATTTAAGCATGCAAAAAATGAACAAAATTTATTATCAAAGATTTTTGTACTTCCAGAAAACATTGCTTACAACCCGCAAACAGCTTCACAGACATCAACATTTGATGAAAAATATGCCAGTAATGCAGTTGATGAAGATGGGAGCTCCTATTCTAGAACCAAAGCTGGCCTCAATGTCACATTTTCCTTAACATTTTCAGAGGTCAAAAGATTAAAAAATATATATATCGATTATTACGAACTAGGTGAGATTTTTGATTATTACTGGGTGACAGATTTTATATGTAGTAATTATGTTTTAAAAACTATTTCAACCTTGCTATAAGAGAAACTATCGATGATGTTGATTAAATACAAGGTCATGGAAGAATAAGAATCAGGGGCGGATCCAGTTATTTTTGAAAGGGGGGGTTTCCAGGGTTGTGGCCCTCTTACCCCCCCCCCCCCCACTACACACTCTCAAGTAAAGATTCCCCCTCACATGTGGAAAGATCTAAGGTTGTGGTAAATAATAAGTTTGATTTACGTCCCTTGTTTCTTCGAAAAGATACTGTACCCCCAGTCCGAATAAAAAACAAACACATTTCAAAAACTACCGAAGCCTTAAAATATAATGGATTTGAAGCATTTCCGCAGAGTAAAAGACTTTTCTTTTAGAATTTGAAAAAAAAAAAACTTTTTTGGGCTGGGGTGCGGGAGGGTTTAAAACAAAGAGTTACAAGTTAGTTCCTTCAAGAGATATATGATTTAAAAAAACGGTACATATATAGCCAATACAGCCACAGATCGCGGGAATCTAATATCAAATTAAACCTCGCATGTTACATAGCATATATAAGGTATATAAAAATATATAAGAAGAATATTTTCTACCATTCTATCATCAAAAAAAGTAATAGTGAAGGTGAATGAAGGAAATTAAATGTGTGAGAATCTATCTATTCAATACATAAGTTAGACGTACAAATATTTGTTCTCGGAAAACGATCTCTCTCTCTCTCTCTCTCTCTCTCTCTCCTCTTGGCAAAAAATTAAGGGGGGTTCCAACCCTCGGACCCCCCCCCCCTCTGGATCCACCAATGAGAATAGAATGTACGTCATGGAGGAAAACATTTCACAATCAATCGAGCTGAATTTGTGAATCAAATAAATTTAATTAAGAACCGGTTTGTTCCCTGAGTCCATGATATACCAGGCTGTATTAGCTGGGGAAATAAACTGATATATACAACTATGTTTTGATTTTATGGCCACAGGAAGGCGGTAACACTACTAAGGATCATAATTTGGTAATCTCCCATGTATCTAAGAATGAAATGTGGTTGAAATGTTTGGAGATAATGAACAGTTTTTAAGCTCAAAGGTTTATTCAAACATCCAAATCAGGAGCAGAGCAAACACGGACCTCTTAAATATCAGAGGTTGGATCAGGTGTCATGGAGGCGTGAGCGACTGTGCGCTCCTTGATTTGATCGGGAAATATAGTATTTAAAACGAAAAAAGTTTGTCGACACTATAATGCTATAACGATTAGTAAAAAACGTCAGTCAGCTTTTGACTAATAAGTATGTATGTAGATTGTATTAACCGACAGGGTAATTGTATTGGACAGAGAACTAACGAAATGAGGATTGTAAACGAGAATGTTGATATTCTCATTTCATCAACTAATGTTTGTCAATAATAATGGATTTGCTCTTCGATATGAATAGGGAAAAAAATGTGCTTTCAGTTTCGGATTCTCTGAATATTTAGCAGATGTTGACCAGCAAAACAGAACTAATAAGCGAGCTTATTGTAGTCAGGACACTGTCACATGTAACAAGAAATTCAGACATGACTCATGAAAAGTGGTTGTTGTAAATTTTCTCTTCCTCCTAAATTTAATCTTTGGAAAATCATTTCACGAGCAAGATCTTCGAGAAAATAGGGTCATCTGAAAGTAAAAAAGAGAGTTTTTTTTTGTTTTTCATCAAAGTGTCTTATTTTTTCTATTCCTTCTTCCATCTTCACTGGTAAAAAGTATATGACACAACAGTGATTGTTCTGTGCTTTCTGTCTGTTCAACTACATGTGTAGATTTACAAGCCGAATCCTGTGCTTATGACCAAGTGTACGAGCCATGAACAACTGATAACTATAGCAAACAAAAACTGCGACAGAAATGTATAATAAATAAATAAGATATCGTAATCTATCTTATTCCAACCCTCGATGTTGCAATTAAAACAAGTGGTTAGCCATCAAAATTCTATCAGACAAAATAATCCATTATCAACGCAATACTCATGCACGGGTTAACAAACTTTAAGAATTATATGATCACTACGATTTATGTCCTCTTTTTAGTTCCCGATTTCAATTGTGGCACCAACCGTGAAAGTGGGAACATAAAGCATTAAAGTGACTGTACGGTACATCTCATAAAAACAGGCTTGTAAACATTTTCCGATAGGATTTCTAATTTTTTACTACTTATAAATGCATACACCTTTGGAAAATTTCAAGTCTCATATGTAAATATTTCTGATTATTCCATTAAAATAAATAATCAATTATGGCCCATAAATATCAACTTCGCAACGTGTTCGATTTCCACATTCCTTGCTATATGCCGGGTACTCATGCGTAGTTTTCATACCATGGTAACAGCATGGTAAGAGAGGGAAGCCCAGAGGGCCTGCATCATTGACAAAGTCAACTAAAGCGGAAAAAGAAACTGAAAATAAGGCTAAAAAAGCACATTTCCTAATTAAAAGAGGTGGGAGATTATTAGGGGTATAATCATCAGATGAAGACACGGGATCTCGGCGATACTCACGTGGGGCTCGCAAAGGTTCTATTCTACAGGTTTGGTGATTCAAATTGTCATTTCTCGTATCTCCGTGGCTTTCAAAGACATGAAAATCAATGTAAACTCAACATAGAAATGCACCTATGACACATAAAAATTATTGTCATTTGAAGTGCAAATTGTAATAGAACTACAGGAAATATTTTTTAACATTTTGCTTTGATATCGTATAATTTGGTGGATTTTCCTTTCCTGGGCCCCACTACACAAACCGTAAACATTTGTACTTAATACTTTTAAATTTGTCTGAACCCAGACTAAAATGTTAACGATTATTAATTTATCGTAGAATTATAATATTTTACTTTTGAGAAATGCTTCAATCTCATATTCCATCATAATTATAAACCGTACAGTGTAGAAACGTGTCATTTAGATTTCACGTTGTACAAGCTAGTAAAGGTGTGTTCCCATTTCGCCTTAACTGTGAAAATAAGGTAAGAAAAAGTCAAAAAGTACAAAGGCGAAATGGGAATTTAAAATAAACATTTAATTATACATTTTACAGGTCAAACTGGAGCTCGTTATGAAGTTTATGTGAAAAACTCTACCGAAACCTCTCTAAACATTGCTAACTTGTGTAGAGCTTTCATTTCAATTGCAACGAAATATTTGAATTCTAGTTTAACGTGTGCTCAAACTATGATCGGAGATTCAGTAGTTATCAGGAAGGTCGGCCGGGGAAGTTTATTGTTTTACGAAGTAAAAGTCTATGGTAAGTACAATTGATTTGACTGCTGTGTACAAACACTTGTTACAATTTTTTAAAAGAAAAATGCTATCTATGGATTAAAGATAGATGCAGTGAAACTGCAATTTCAACAATATTGTGAAATGATGCCCTAAACTATATTTCAGAAAGCGCAACAGCTCTTAAGTATCAATTAAAATGCTTTTCTTAAGGATACATGCACATAACAAAAATAACAATTTGATGAATAGACTAATGTATATTTTTGACTGATTTTGAATGGAATCACAAGTTCTCCTGGGTGCTTAGAAAGGCGACTTTGTAATATTTTCTATGAAATGCTATACACAACTTTGCACAGATTATTGACATTGTGAAAATATCGTACAATATTCACCCAATTTACCTGTAAAATATCATTCAGGTTACCTATCTGAATATTAATCTATGAGTAATATTTACAAATTAACCTTTCCTTGCTGTTTTATGCGCAGGTGAACGTGAATGCCCATGAGCTTCTAAATTTTTCTCCATTATTTTTATTATTAGGAGCACATGGTGGGTGTGACTGGTAGACAGGGGATGTTCATTCCTCCATGGCACCTGATCCCACCTCCAATGTTTTGGAGGTCCCTGTTTGCTCTGCTCCTGTTTTTTTTTTTTATTGTTTTATGAACTTTTGATCTTGAATACCGTTCATTATCTCCATATATTTCATTGAGTAAAATCCACCTGTGACTCTTTTGTTTAAGCAATCCATTATTTTTCAGGAGTGAAGAGTTGCAAATTACACTGAAAACGGGATTTGTTATGTTCATAATCCCCTTCCCGTGTCTCTACCGTGGAAAGAACTTGAAAAATTTTATCAAGTTCATTTTCACATAAAGAAAACTATTGTTCTCATGGTGAGAATCGAACCCGGTTGCATAACCGTAACCTTTGGTGTCGGTTACTTGCATCTTTTATTTTTGGCATCGAGTACTCAATTTACTGTGCAATCGAAGCTGTTGAAACACAATGGCTTAGACTAACTTCAGTACACTTTTCTTGCCTTACTTTCTATAGTATATTTAAATTAAATATTACTTATAAATAATGTATCTTTAAAGAGCATTATAAAATATTCTTTATAATATATAAACATACATTTAATACAAACAGTTAGAAGGGTGGATTTTACGTGGGTTATTATACTCATAGTAGTAATAGCACTCCATTCCCTAAAAGTAATCGGCCTCAGCTCCATTTCTTTTAAAGAATTAAGGGACTCCGACCCTCAGCTAGGAAGGACAACTCTTTAATTTATAATTAAATTCAAAAAGTCTTTAAATGAAGCTTAAAGATTAATCTTTTCATGCAACAATTTTCATTATACGCCTCTCAATGTGCTTCAAGGTTCTTTGAACTTCTCAGAAAGGTCTAATTAAAAGTAGAAATTTTATCCCGAAAAAGCATTTTTAAATACCAATGTTTATTAACATGATATGAAATTAGAAGTGATTTATGGAGCTTTGCAAAGAACCTTGAAGTACATTTAGAGGCATTTAATGAAAATTGTTGCATGAAAATATTTAATTTTCAAGCTTCATTTAAAGACTTTTTGAATTTAATTATAAATTAAAGAGTTGTCCTTCCTGGCTGAGGGTCGGAGTCCCTTAAGCGCTTCTCTAACATTACCCTTACTTAAATACTACTGAGTCAAAATGAATAAAAAGTCATCAGAATAGAAACAAAGGTGTAAATATGTCGAATAGCACAGAGTGTACGAATTTTTTTAGTGAATGCGTTAAAACTCTAGAAATTAAACAAAGTGATTATTTTTACTCAGACTTTACTAGTGAGTATATTTTTTTTTCAGAGTGTAGTCAGGGCACATACGGATATTTTTGTGACAAAAGATGTTCCAACTGCTTAGACAACCAGTGTGACGGATTCACAGGAGTTTGTGCATCAGGTTGTAAGTCTGGTTGGTATGGAAAAAATTGTGACAGAGAATGTCCCTTTAATTGTAAAAGTCCTTCTTTCTGTAATAGATATTTAGGATGCACAGAGTGCCCTGATGGCTTTAGTGGGCCCAGATGTTATAAATGTACGACAGGTACTTACGGTAAAAACTGTAGCTTAAAGTGCCTGAATTGTGATCCATATAACTGTGACAATGTCATTGGATGTCAAGAATGTTATCCTGGTTTTCACGGCCCAAATTGTACTATGTCCTGTCCAGAGAACTGCAAAAATAAAAGCTGTTTGAAACAGTATGGAGACTGTTATGACGGGTGTGAAGACGGATTCATGGGACCAAAATGCGATACATCTTGCAATATAAATTGTGCCACTTGTATTTTAAATGATCGGTGTTCATCATGTGTCGCAGGATTGCATGGTGGACAGTGTGAATTAACATGTCCCGAGACATGTGGCGGGAAAAGGGCATGCGATAAAGATACAGGCCGGTGTGATGAATGTGGTGCTGGAAAATATGGTGAAAATTGCACACAATTCTGCAGTAAAAATTGCATATCAGGTACATGTCGAAGGGATGGAGAATGTATCGGTGGGTGTAAAGAAGGATGGCTAGGTCTGATTTGCAGCATGGAATGTTCCGAAAATTATTGCTCAGAATGTATTTTATCTGATTCAGCAGTTTTGTGTAGCAGATGTGATGATGGTTACTTTCTAGACACAGAAAACAAGTGCCAGAGTTGTTCATCTAATTGTTTGTCTTGTGAGAGTGAATTAAAATGTACCCGGTGTAAACCTACGTTTACTGGAAATTTGTGCGAGGAATGTAGTAAATATTGCATTGATCACTTGTGTTACATGGATGGAATTTGTGCATCCGGGTGTAAAAATAGAAAGTATGGTGTAGGATGTTCTAGTGCATGCAATGCTTATTGTGAACATTGTTATGATGAATATAACTGTACACAGTGTTTACCTGGATATTACGGACGAAATTGTAGTTTTTCTTGCTCTTATCAAAACTGTTACTGCACTTTGCAGAAAAACTGTCTCTCCTGTAATCCTGGATTTTATGGAAAACACTGCCAAAATTCTTGTCCTCCAAACTGTCTGACATGTAATGCTTTTGATTACTGTACCTCCTGTAGGGGAGGATGGTCAGGCAGGATATGTCAATGTAATGTAAACTGTAAGGACGAATCTGGAGACAATGGAAAGTGTGTTAATGGATGTAAAGGTTCGTTTTACGGTGATTACTGTAATGCATCCTGTCCTGTGGAAAACTGTCAGAAATGCGATCAGAAATCTGGGAACTGTACTCGGTGCTCAGATGGACGTTATGGAATTAAATGTGGCCTGTATTGTAGTAAAAATTGTGTTGGAAAACTCTGTGACATTGAAGGTGGGTGTCTTCAAGGATGCGAGGAAGGATTTACGGGGGGAAATTGTGGTAAGATTTGTATAAGGAATTATTGAAGTTAGAACAAACAGAAAGAACCAAAACTTACAATTCAGTCTTAACATAAAAGCTGCTTTTATTACTTCAACAAACTCGGATTTGTATGTCTTTGGATAAATCCTTGATTGCTCACCTCGAGATTTTACTCAAGTGTATGTTACATGAATGAATTCTATTTCTTAACCAAGCGCATTCACTAAAAGGTCATGGCTGATTTTTCTCCGCATCTCTTTAAACATATAGAAAGAACAAAGAATTATATAAATGATTCATTGAAACATTTCTATGTATGTAGGGATCACATTATCAACATATGCATCTCAAGCAAAACCCTATGTCATTGCTGTTTCCGTTCTTGGAGTTCTAGTAATCATGTTTGCAGTCTTGCTATTAATTTTCCTGGTAAAACGAAGAAGGTACTTAAAAGATTTTTATTATTCAAATACTATTAAAAGATTTCAAAGTATCGCTTAAAGATATACAAGTGGATTCCTGATGACACAGTATTATTTGACATTTTATAGAGACCGAGAAAGAAGAGTGAAGGAGACCTATGAGAGTGTTCAAGTCACATTCCAGGAAACAGACCACGAATACGACAGCATTCACAGGGAGCCTGCTAATTAGTCCCTTACCAGTTAAACCATAGAAGACTACAGTGAAAGTTATTGATTTAATTTCGTTTATATTCTAGCCTCTCAATGGTTGATTTCCCAAAAAGAACACAAATAATTCTGTTTATTCTGGTTTGGTATGGGGACACACCCCCTTCACAAACGGCTGAATCATCTTATCCCCTCATTTTAAGTCCTCGGAATCCATGGAAAATTCCAGATTTAATAAATGTACCTTTAACTTCAAACAGTTGCCTCATTCTTTACCTCATGTAAACAAACATCATGGCTGCTAGATCTATGTGTCAGTAATTACATCCCCTCGCTTCCCATTACTTCTGTTACTGCGGTTGTATTATTGAGCGGCAAATTTAAACTCATAAAAAGGAACACAATTTTACATCCACAGTTGTTTAATTATTTTAAAGTTAAATTGAAAGGACCAGGTAAGGTGGGGTCATGATGGGCAATCAAATATCTACATAGAAATATAAAGGAAAAATCTTTAAAACTCCTCTTCTTAAGTATGGCGAAATTATACATGTATGCTTTATATAGTGACATTCTCAAGTAATAAAAAATCCGAATCCCCCCTTTCTACAAAAAGTAAACTTTTCAATACTGGGCTGATTCGTGTCTTTTAACAAGCCCATGTGCTCAGGTGAGCGATGTGGACCATTGGCCTCCTGTTTATAAACCGCTTCGCGGATTATAAAGCGTTAACTGACCCAAAACCAAGTTTCATCGAATAATTTGGCAAAGAATTAGAATCATTCCTTAATTATCCCCGTTCCATCGAATTCTGTCTGTCTATCATTCTGTTCCAATTAGTTTCAAAACTTTTTTTTAAATCAGAGAATTAATAAACTGATCTGATAGTCTGTATATGTGAGTACCTTGAGTAGTAAAAAATCAGGTTAGGTTTGAATTTCCTTTTGCTGCGAGATGTTTAACGGAATATTTGTCATTTTAAGTTCATGGTACTGTAAAATCACACATTTCCTTGGGTCAAATTTTATGTTTGAGGAAAAAGAATTGGTTTGTGGGGATTAGATTTCGTGGTTTGAAACGTAAAGCAGTAATGCATATGAAATTTTAAATTCGTGGTAGACGTAGATTCGTGGGTCTCTCATTGCCCAGAAAACAACGAAAATTACACTCCCATTTTTAAAATGAGTGATTTGACAGTAAACAGTTACTACATGTAGATAACACTTTTCGGAAGCGGATTATTATTATTTCAACAATACTCTCAGAAGTTATGTTAAGTTGTAGAATTTATGCAAAGATATTTTGTTAATTTAAATCATAGATACAGGTTTCCGGAAACAATGAGTCTTAAAGAGGCTGGGTGGTCGTGTTCATTTTTAGACTATTTATATCCCCTTTAGAAGATTGATTGATTGTATAATATATTGTTTAACGTCTCTCTTGAGAATTTTTCACTCATATGGAGAATGTCCGTATGCCGGTGAAGGGCTTCAAATTTAGACCTATACTCGGCACTCAGGGCCGTTGAGTAGTGTGGGTTCTTTATCGTGCCAGGGCTTACCGGGACACGGGACCTTTGTTTTTAAGGTCATATCCAAAAGACCCGTGACTTTCACTTCTGATGCCGAGCTCTTGGCGAAGGAACAGTCGCTACCTATTTTTACGTCCTAGGTTTGACGCGGCGCCAGGAACGAAAATCGAACCCGGGCCTCCCGATCACGAAGCGAACCCTTTACCACTAGGCTACTGTGAACGATAAGAAGAGCTCCATATAAAGATATACAAAAATGATCAAATTTTTATTTGTAAAAATGATATTCGACAGCTAAAGATATCATGTGTAAAAATTTAAGTTATATCTGATGGTTAATTTTTTGTTAATTTGTTGACCCCCAGCCTCCTTTAGGATGGAAAATACAAATATTTTGTTCTTCTAAATTTTAATTCAGGGGCTGAATGCATTAACTATTCTTAAGCCCTTAACCTAAACATATATTCGGGTACTATTTTTCAGCTAAGCAGATTGAAATTTTACTCAGGATTAATTTTGCTTCACATGTTGCATAAAACTGTCAACTATAGACAGAGCATTCTTTGTGTATTGTATACAAATAATGTCAAGCATGCCCATTACCTGTCTTAAGTTTATCAAACAATTTTGTTAATATACTGTTTCAATGTGACTCGCATTCAAGTTGCGAGAAAAAAAGACTTAGAGGACATTTAAACATAGACTGCACTAATTCTTTGCACACAGCTACTGAGTTTTGTAATGCTCCGTCTACCTGATCATACACAGAGCTCATGGCGGGTGTGGTTGATCAACAGGGGATGCTTATTCCACCTGATCCCACCACTGTAATTTCCAAATGCCCATGTTTTACGCCATATTCACATATTTGTATTGTTTGTATATATTTTTTTCAGATAGATCAGCCACCACATCAATGTGCAGATTGTTTCCTATACGAATCGGAGAATGGAAGATCCTGTGTCCACTTTAGAAGAAGCAACACATGATTCTAGAATGTCTCTACTAGGCGACAGAGTATATCCATTGGAAAATTGGTTACTGGCACTATTTCTGAACCCATCAGATGGGCAGCAAAGACAGCATAAAAGTCTTAAATCATGTTGATTACTGTGTAACAAATTTGTTGTTGTTTTTTATCATTAATCCTTTGGTAAGATTCTAGGACTCTTTTAAATGATCATTTTTACATTACGCCAGTAAATATTTGACGTTTTTTTTTAAATGTGACGTCATTTGATCCTTGCGTAGTTTATCAAATGTCCAACAACTGAGACTCAACATATATTCATGGTTTTGTAAATATATTTATCTATTAATGTGTATGCAATCAATTGAAATGAATACAATGCATGCGTATATTTTAAGTACATAAAATTTTCGGGTTTTTTTGTTGTAGAGTAGTTTATGATGAAGTAATACTGCCATGCTATATATTGATCTAACCTTTTCAAATGATCATGCAGTATAATATAACTTGATTTCAACTTGATTGAATTTTCAGTCCTTTAATGGGTGACAGGCTCACTTTCAGTTCTTTAAAGGGTGTCAGCCTCACATTATAATTTGTTATTTGTATTTTACATGTCACTTCGTGCTGGCCTTTTCTAATTTGTTCCGTCTGAAACAGGTTATTCTTAGTTTTGATTTTTTAAAATGATTTTGGGACATCTTTTTCTTTGTGAAAGGTAAAATACTTTTAAGGTGAGCATTGTTAGTGATCGTGGCTATATCATTCATTTTCATATATATTCATTTATTGTGATCCTTTTAAAAATGAAATTAAGCTCTACAGCGCGATATAATTTAACAACAGTCAATTTTTTTTTACCATTTTTTTTACATTGTTTGTGTTTGCATGAAAGATTCATTATATAATTATGATATTTATTACATGTAGTGAAAAGCCTTGCCTGACAATGATTTTTTAGGGATTAAGAACCCTCTATACACTGACGAAAAATGTTTTTTTGACTTTGAGAAAATTATATACCCCGGTAGTGTAAAGGAGGCTATTTTGAAATAAACTAATCTATTTCTAATATAGGTACCGTGCCTTCTTTACACAGTAAAAATCTTTGAAGACGGTGAAGTAATGACAAAGAAACATTGCTTTTGATTATTCAAATGGAGAAAACACATGCAAATTAAGTTTTCAATTACTCTATCTTTGTCTAAAATAATGTTTAGAATACATGGATTTATTTAAAATTTTGTCATACAGTGCAGATTACAATTTATTTTTTTTTTATGTCAAATGATGGGTCTGTCTAACTACACGCAAGTACCCTGAAATTGTTTTGAACATATTTTATTGACAAGCAAAAGGATCAGAAACAAGTTCTAACAACTTACTAGTTCTTCTCCTTAACATAAACATATAGTAATTGTCATGCAAAAAGTATAGAAAACTTGTACAAATAAGAGTCAATAATATATCTAGCTAAATCTACAAGATTCATTTATAAATTTATGAACCCTGAAATTAGGGTGCAGTGTAGAGAGGGTCCTTAACTATCAACTATGTGCAGTAATACAGTATCTATTTGATGTTCTTTAATTGTATTAGTATTCATACATGAAATTATAGAATTGAATTTATTTTGGACTTTATATAGGCTGTTTATCATAGATTTACTTGGTAAAGAACAACTCATAAACTGTAATATTTTCATAAATTTCCATAAATTTATGCATGAGTACAGAATAAAACTCATAATGATAAAACAAGTAGTTTTGTATTATTGTTTTGATAATTAACAAACAATTTGTTTAAAACATATATCACTTAGTTTCTGGATAGTGGATGTGTTTAGTGGAATGCTAACTTTGGCCGACTTTTATAAAGCGGTTATACAGTAAGCCGCTACAATTTTAGTCGCCAAATTTGAACTCTTCATTATTACTACTGAAATGAACATATGGAGGTAGATAACAATATTCAAGATCAAAAGTCCACAAATCTATACAAAACAAGAGAAGAGCAAACACGGACCTTCAAAGCATCAGAGATGGGATCAGGTACCATGAACGAGTGAACATCTCCTGCCGACCGGTCACACGTGTGCTCCTTGTCATGATCGGGAAATTGCGAAAAAAATCTTCGTCAATTCAGTGTATAAATGATGGATTAACAATTAGTGTGAAAAACGTCAGTCAGCATTTGTCTCAATGATATATTGTATTTGCTGACAAGATCTTTGTATCGACCATAGAACTTACGAAATGATGAGTATATACGAGGCTGCTGTTTTTCTTGCTTTATCAACTTGTTTGTCAATAATTCACCTCGTTTTAAAAATTGTTCATACCTAAGCATGCTCCTGCCTATCGAATCACCTGGGATGCATAAACTCCGTAGGCAGCTGATGAAGGTATATTGCTGCATAAGTAAGGAAAGATGACGATAGAAAAATGAGAGTCATCACGTTTCTCATATAGAGCTTGGTTGTTAGATTACCATTAACGTCTTTTGCAAGGAAAATATCCAAATATGAAACAGATTTGTCAGACTCGAAGATATCCTTTATCTCAAGCTTACCAGGATATATTGTAATGACATATGAATGCAAATTACAATTGTTAATTGACAATACATCGTCTATATATCTAAATGTCGAGCTGAAGCCCACAGCAAGTGTTTCTTCTTTTCACGCATGAGATTTTGAACACAGTCTGATTCATGAGTACAAAAACCGGTCTTATCAATCAGAAACTCAAGCATCTTTTTTATGTCGACTTCAGAGTACTTTTGTGTACAATCAGAATATGTTTTAACTAAATAATTTTGCAAATGACCAGTGACAAGGCATGTAAATTTACGAGTTCTAATTTAATTGAAAAAGCAGCTGTCAATGATATCGAAAAGCCTGGACTTTAATTACAAATTGTCCAAAAGTTCCTTGGAATTTTTAAGTCCCGCATCCGATTAACACTACTTTTTGAATATTGTTGCACAGTACTCTTGAAGTTTCTCCTTCACAACTGTTAATATGAAAACAACAATACTGAAAATAACAAAAATCATTTACTTTGATTAGTCTTGATCATCTTGATTCAATTTTTTGTGTAAATTGTTATTCAACGCATATTAATAAACGTACTTATTATAAACTTATCTTAGAGATGAATTTCCTCTTTTTGGCAATGTCACGGAACTGTGTTTGTCCATACAAATTAATCGAAACCTAGTGACATAGTTTTGAGCAAGCAATCCACCAAATTTCACCCGCTAAAGAAATCAGTTCTACGGTAACTGAATAATTTATAATTTTCTAATGACAGAGATACATGTTCGGTCAAAGATCAAGATCTCTCTCTCTCTCTCTCTCTCTCTCTCTCTCTCTCTCTCTCTCTGTGTGTGTGTGTGTGTGTGTGTGTGTGTTGGAGAGGGTGGGTGTAAGGGTGTGTGTTCTTTTTGTTTCTTGAGGAGATATGACATTATGAACTTGACCATTCTTGGCTGTCATTTTGGCGAAATAACTGAATATAGGTATTTCCTTACTGTTGTACCGGAAATCAGGTGAACAGAGAGTATATAAAACGAATATTGTTTATACGGCCTTCAAATTCTTATTCAAGATGTCAAGTATTAATTAGAACAAACATAAACATCATATATTTGTTATGTTCAATATGAAATTGGTTGAGATTTGTTTAAAGGATTCCTTTTTAATATACTGTAAAAGCTGAACCATTGATGATGTGAAAACCTTGACGAAATTTGCGAATTTTAAATACTTTTACATTGTTATTAAAAAAGCACTGTTAAATACTACTTGATATGTAATGCTAGTATTAAACTCGCCATATTTCCAGTATACCGAAATCGTCAAACTTTCAACCTTCAAAATAATCACATTAACACTTGTACCAACCCTTTTATTTAGAACCATAAATAGATGAAAGAAAACTTACTAGGTTGATAAAAAAATCAGAACGAAAATTTTAAGCCTAATGTCTTAACAATCATGGTAGTAATCAAGATAGTTAACGGGAAAATTGCAGTAAAAAAGGTTAGTTTGATGAAAATATAGTAAAATCCTTGAAATTTTAAGCGTGCACAACTTTGAAGGAAGTAAAATTCAGGTGAAAAAACCAAGATCGATGAGTGTTTCACATCTTTTTCCTACAATGTTTAGTTTTTAAAGCATTCTTATCAAGAGAAACAAATTATTTTGCAAATGCTTAACGATGTCAAAATATATAACTAAGAGGGGCCAAATATAACATGCTATAAGGATCTTCATTAGATATGGGTTTTCCTTTTTATAATATGTGCTTAAAACGTATGCAATTATGAAGTACTTTTTCCTGTTTTTGCAGCAGGAAGAAGCATATAAGAGATCGATCTTAAGATTATTTCATAGAAAAACCAAGCACATGAATTTACTGGATAAAGAATGTAATATTCCTAAAATATTTCCGCATTTAATAATAAGATATATTTTTCTCTTTAATGTATGTTAAAGCCATACATGGCGTATTTATGATAAATTCAGATTACGCAAATTAAAAGACCTTAAGCTTCCTCTCTGTTTTATAACTTTAAATAAAGATTGGACTCTTTCTGTAATCACACAACTAAAATCAATTGCCTATCAAATATATAAAATTTTTAAAACGGATACCTACTCATTAACCGCCTCCACAAAAAGAAAGGTGGTTTGAATTAATCCACCTTAATTTGATTGCTTAACACAATATTTAGACAATCGAGATAGTCAACAATATTTAATGGCGAACCATAAGAACGAGAGATGCCATCAACTACGATAATGCAACTTAACTTAAGTTCATGCATCTTTAACTTCTTAAATATGACATCAAAATAAAATGAAAATTTGTATAATAATCCAGTATTAATAAATATTAGGTTCATAAGAGTGTTGATTCCTATTTCAAAGGAGTCACTGTTAGGGCGTAATATGTACAAATGGGTCTTTCAATTCAAAAATAAAAAGTACTTGTTCTTAGACAAATTTTGCTTGAAATTGTCTTTTTAATCAATTTATGAACAGATAGATACTTTATATTATATATACATTTGAAGAGAAAGTGGTCAATAGGTTGTTTTAAAATGTTTTATTGTAAATAAGAAACAGAATAGGAGGTTTTGATGATTTAAAAAAAAACTACCAGTATTTATTAATATGAAAATTGCTACTTTTTAATATCTTTGAATCTAGATTAGATCATGTATCGATAAAGAAATGTTGCATGATCACGCACTCTTAATGGAAATTGAAAAGGAATTGCTAGATCTAAGAAAAAGAGGGGTGATGTTGAAATGTTGAAATATTACCTTTCCCGATCTAAATAAATATGATCTAGAGTGGAAATATGTCAATAATCTATATTTATAAAAAATACTAAGTTTCTTGCTTGTAATATGGTGTGAATAAAAAAAAAGATTAAAAAAAACTAATCTAGCTTTTGAAAACCTTATTTAAGAATGATTGTGCTAATGTGCGAGCTGTATATACGAGTATTCGTATTTCTTCATGTACTGTGCAATTTATACTGTATCCAAAAAGTGTAATATAATAATATGTATTTCACCTTGAATGCCAAAAAGCTTAAGTATAATTAATGAAGTTAGAATCGATTATTATGGTATATAGTTATAAATTCAATACAACTGATATTTTCAAAATTCTCTTATCCATAGTTTGATAATGCATGATTGCATGATTCCATAACTATGAAATTTTCCATGGACCCGTAGATGCGGTGCATGGGACCGGTTGCTCCTGTCCTCCACTTTTTATAGTATTTTTGCTATATTATATTTTCCTTCAGATGCTAACCCCCACCCCCACAAACACACACACTTTTTGTCGCTGTTAGGTCGAGCTCTGACAAATTCCATATTTTGGACAATTGATTAGGATTTTGACTTTGACATTAAATGGCGTTCCTTTTTGTAGTTTAGGTTTTTCTTTGACCTGACATTTTTTTGAGGCGGGGAGGGGGGGGGGGCGAATTACCAACCTGTTGCTTCAGAAACATTAATATGGTTACTACAGGCTTGTTCCAGCCCTTTACCACTACATATCTTATTTATGATTATTTTAATGTTAAATATAAGAGAAAAGGCAATTAACTGAAAGGAAAATTGCTTAAAAATCTCTATGCTTAAATAACTCTTATTTTTCGGAAGAAAGTATGCTATGCACATCGTTTGAGTTTTCATGTACATTTGTTTATCGAAATATCACAATCGTGTACATGTTTATGTTTTGCTAATGCAATTTGAAACTGTGTAGATTTTCAGTTTTAAAATTTATCTGAGCAAACCAAAATACACTGTAATTATTTAATTTTTTTTACCTTGAATATCTGGATGGCATTGTGTTTTATATCTGTTTGAAACATGATGAAGAGAAAAAAAAAGATTCATGCGTTGTACATGCTCTCTATGCTTAACTTCTGTTAGGTTTAAGTGTGAAATTAGTTTGATCCGCCACGGATCATTGTAGTCTCCAAACCAAATGAAATACGATCTGAGAATGCGTAGTACCTAGCGAAAATGTCTTTGTCTTAGACCCAATCTTACGTCGCTTTCTGAAACGCGATTTAGGTCCGTCTAAATTTTGGCGTAACTTTCTTAGTCGGACTAACTTAGGCCAAAATCTACGACTTTTTGAGAAACGAACCCAAGAGGTGGGATCAGGTGCCATGGAGTAGTTAGGATTCCCTGCTGATCGGTAACACCCGTTGTGTGCTCCTTAGGAAACAATAAAAAAAAACGTCGACATTTCACTGTGCAAGAAATGTCCTTACAATGAGCATGAAAACGGCAGTCAGCATATTACTTGATGATAAAATGTATTTGCTGACGATATTATTATACACGTATCGGCCATAAACTTAACTTACAAAATGATGACTTTAATTTAACGAGACTGCTGATATTCTCGTTTCAATTACTTGTTTGTCATTATTTATATTGATTCTAAGACAGGGTAAAATTAATTGACAATAGGTTAAACTATTTAAAGATTTGGTAATTTTGCGAACGTTGGATTCCTACCAACTCTAACTGCTGAGCAATCCAATTGGCTACTAATTTCAATCCATTTTGTTACTAATTTTCTATGCCCTTCTTCAAAGGATTGGGTGCCAGTTGCTGAATGGTTCTCTTGTCTATCTCTCAAAAAGAAGCAGTACGCGTTAATGATGCTGGTTGAAATATGATGCGGTTTGTGACGAGGACTACAATGTACATGTAAGGAATAACTGACACCCCCCCCCCCCCACTGATATAAAGTCTGTAATATTAACAGAGAATTCTAAAAAGTAGTGTTACTTAGTAGGTTAGAAAAACAAAAATCATAGGCGTGCTTTGATAAATTCACAGTAGTATAATAAATAATTTTTCTGTATTTCTTTTAATTTATTTGTATTTGGGGGATGTCTTCATTATTTGGTAGCCATATCCTCTTTTAGTCTAGTATCAATCATTTTTTTAATGTCATACAAATGACAAACGTAACAAAATTTACAAAAGCCACTGAATAATTCCCTCTAAGGATACATTCAACAATGCATGGAAAAAGAGAGATAACCCAGAAATATTGTGAGTATCGATATCTACGTTATTGATGGATAACTCGGTTCCGACTCTTCTCAATCGTCAGTTTCTCACAACCCAAAAGATGAACGATGATGATTCATGGATTGCAATGAAAGGGCGCATATTATTACAAGCTCAAATATGTTTAATTATTAAATTGTAAAAAATTAAACACCCATGTAAGCGGTTTTTTTTTAGATCGATTATGTGTCATCTATTACATTGTATACATTTCCTACTGGTTTCGGAAAAGAAACCAGGAAGAAATTTATATGAACATGTTTTTGTTTCACTATCCTTACTTAAATAACACACTGTTTTATGATCGTGATGTCGTTAAACTGGACTTTGTCTTTGCTGATTTCTTGCGTTGTCTTCAACTCTGCCTATTGTAAGTATCAGTTTTCAGTTTCTATAATTTTCATTGAAATTATTGTTCATATTTTAGAGCATTCATGATGAACTCAATACATGCCTCCATACGCTCCATTTAATTATTACACAGTACAGTTATCTTCATAAAATGTGCTTAAGTAAAAATAGGTTGAGTATAAATAAACCTTGGGAAAAATTTTTCAAAAAAACGAGAATCTCTACCTTTTATGAAATCATGTCTGGGATAAAATTATTGCATTGTAAATGGATTAATTGACCAGGATCCGGCAGCACGAACGATAGTAATGCTTTCCTTTGAAGAATGGAAGGTATACCGGTAAAGCTTTGCTGCTGTCTGTCGGTCCACAAAGTCTCCTTTCAATTTTTCTGCAGCGGTTGCACATACTCAAATGAAATTATGTATAAAAAATAATCATAATGATATTAAGGTCAATTTCTATATTAGGTACGATCGAGCCATTTTTCCACAGAGGTTACCCCTTCCAAAAAATTGAAATTTCCGTTCATTTTCTTTGCAACGGTTGCACATACTAAAATGAAATTTTGTATATACAGATTTAGCATAAGAATATGTAGGTCAACTTCTGTTTGGATACAATGACCTAGTTTGCAAATACAATTAATCATTGAGTCAAATGATGACTGGCGATTTTTACACTAATTGTTAGTCCATTATTTATACACTAAATATCATTTCCCGATCATGACAAGGAGCACACGGCCGGTGTGACCGGTCGACAGGGGATGCTCACTCGTCATTGACACCTAATCTAACCTTCGATGTTTTATAGGTCCGTGTTTGCTCTGCTCCTATTTTGTATTGTTTTATGGACTTTTGATCACGAATATTATTCGTTATTTCCATCTGCTTAATTCTAGTTCTCTAATAGTTAATTCCTGTTCATTTACGTTCGTTATCACATTTTTACTTAAGTCACATTTGGCCAGCGAGATGTAGGCTCTATGTACGAAAATGTAGTTTCAGAAAAAAAAGATTTTGATTTTCGCCTTTGATTTTATTACTAGTCACAAGATAAAATAACCATTACCATTCCTCTAACTTCTTTAAATAATGCATCACGTCACAAATTCACAAAAGTATTGCATTACATTGCCATTTATTCACTCAAGTATTGCATTGACATTACTACTGTATGTGTACTTAAAAAAGCGGGCTTCATATTTTAGCGGATTTGGCGTGGACATCAATGCTCTAATTCATGAATACCGCTCAGAAATTGTTTATAATTACAATACACTGCACTGCGCTGATTCATGCATGATTACGCCAACAACTCCATGCGCCCTGATTGTGATACATTTAAAATACGCCAATTTAGGTGCACGTGCATTTCCCCTTTTTGGGGTTTTTAATTAAAATACAAAATATGTGCAACTATATAATCTCATAACTCCTTCCTTCAGTTCTAAATGTGATGCTACTATTTTGTTATCAATTTTATCTAGACCATCAACTGAAAATAGATTTATATCTAATTTCAAATTCAAGTAGCCCCGTAGGGATCCGGGTTAGAATAGGTCCTCAGTACCCCCTTGCTTGTCGTAAAGGGCGACTAAATGGGGCGGTCCTTCTGATGAGACCGTATAAACTGAGGTCCCCTGTCATAGCAGATTTGGCACGATAGCCTTCCCTCCCTGCTCAAAGGCCGTAAGTGCCGAGCATAGGCCTAAATTTGCAGCCCTTCACCCGCAATGGTGACGTCTCCATGTCAGTGAAATATTCTGGAGAGGGACGTTAAACAGTATATACAATCAATCAATCAATCAATCAATCAAATTCAAGTATCTTTTTAAATAATTTTGAAAATAAAACAAAATCTATAACTAGTGCTAATTGTAACGGGGACCGTTACAGATGTTCCCCAAACGCTCCCCATGTCCCTTATCGTGCCTTATTCCTCTAAGACCTTTTATAAATATGCTAAGTATCCCAGGATTTCATTTAAGAATATAAAAGTTACAATGATATCAACTATCAACGATATATTGTTTAACGTTTTTCCATGCGCGCACATGTACATGCATATGCAAGATGATTATGGCATGTTGATTAAGCGATTAACATATCTTTCTATCCCGCGAATCAAAGAAAAAAATACATATATAAATTTACCATTTTTCAAGCATATGTCATATTTTTAATATCGATTCACATTTTATTTCTCTACTTATTTTAACCTCGGGCTCAAAGTTGGTTTTATTCCGACGACAAGGCAGGGTTAAAGTCGACTAAGGGTGTCACGCCAATACCTAACCAATCAAAATGAAGTTATTCAATAGTAGTTCCATACATGGAAAAGGGATTTTCCTTTCTGTTCAGAATTTTTTTTAATATTTCCTCTCAGGCCATTTTGACAACTCTGATACCTGTGCCTGGTAAATTTTATATACTTTGTAAATAAATATAATTATAAAGGTTTTTTGACCGGAACTATTCATTTTTTCCAATGCATAGGGGGCTACTCTCTGGGTTTTACAAGAGATGTTTAAAAAGACATTCGTGTCAGCTAATGTGACCTATATTGTTTAACACCTTCTTATTAATATTTTTTCATGAATGCAAATATCTGATTATTTTACGAGGGAGCGTACATGTATATTGATTTTTAATATACCGAAAATCGCTATTTCTGGGGATTGCGTAATTCTAAAAAAAATTCAAATAAATTTCAAAGGTAAATTAAACAAAGGATGCTTGGTATTAAAATATTATTTCAAATCAGTAGAATTGAATGCTATTAACGACATCTGAATAAATAGGCTATAAAAGGCTTATATGCCAACTTTGGTCATCTGCACTTTAATTTTAAACACGACAGGATTTGTAATTTTTTCTGTATAAATTAATAATTTCTATATACTTGGAAACTCAAATGAAATATTTTAATACACTTTCCTCGAGCTCTTTTCTGCAGTTTTCCTGAAATTTTATGTGGGTCCGACGTGTTATTTGAGTTTAACAGTGATTCTCTACGTTGCCATTAATTTGATTTGTTTGTGTGTGTGTGGGGGTGTGGGGTGCGTGGGGGGGGGTTTATTTTTATTCTTAACCTATTTAACGTTGGAGTTGAATCTTGTATCTTATTCCAAGAACTTGAGATTGATTGTGACATTTGGATGAAAGGTCAACGTCATTAAAAACCACCACCTCTTTAACGTCTAACCTGTCAACCGAAATAAACTCTGAAAGGTGTTTCTAGATACATGTACATGTACTTCATGTTTCTCTTTTACCCTTGGGTCAAGGACAAAGGTTAAGGTCGATTTCAAGTTCATAGGTCAAGGTGATTTTGGTAAATAGCTAATATCAACATTTTATTCAGGTTACCAGTGACCTTGACCTAAGTTTCAAGGTCAAGGGTAAAAAGATCTGCATGCTTCAGTATGTTACATGTCTTGACATTTAGAAGTTCTTAATTCTGCATGAACATCAAACACTCAAGTATACTGTCTTTTAATACATTGTGTGCGGTCGCATGTGCATGCACGTCCATGCATTTACTTTTGATAGTAGTATAATGTAGGCAATCATTATATCAATTCATATTTGAAATTTCACCCTGTATTATTGAGAACCAAGAAAGTTGTAGGCATTTAAAGTTTTAGCCAATCAGATTGCAGCACACGTGCATGTGCGTGCGTTCATGATTATTCTTATATATCATGCTGTAGATCTTCATAATGTAAGACTATGTTCAAAATTTCAAAGGATTTTGTCAGAAAACAAAATAGATATTTACACTTTTAGTTTCAGCCAATCTCAGCGAGGGGCACCTGCATGCGCGTGAGATCTTGCTATTTTGACCATGTCATCATGTCTATACTACTATTATATCCTTATATTATGAGTTTCAAAGCATTTCATCCAATATTTAAAAAGTTACGGCTAAATCTATTATATTGGTCATTTCACGTGTTACACGTGCGCGCACATGCACGCACGTGCGCGCAAAATGACCTTCGTTCCGCACATCTACATAACATACCTAGTGACCCTAAAAAGGTTTCACCTAGATCGGATGAGTAGTTTACGAGAACACTCGCGGACAAAAAAGTACCGGAGAACAAAGAAAAAATTCAGAAAAAGTAAAAACAATATGTTCCCCAACTTCGTTTGGGGAACATAACAAGTACATTGTATTTAAACTTGAAATAATACAGTCATGCAGCATTAGACGCATTTATTGAATAAATATTAAAATATTCAATATCTAAATTTTGAAGTCTGTTTCTCAATTTATGGTCTTTGGGCCTGACGAGAAGGATACCCGATAACTATCAATTGAATAAATGGCTTCTATTATTTAATAAGATATCAAGCTGAGAAGCTTTTTCTGTCATATTTTGTCCCAAACTTGGTAAATGTATGCTGAAATTGTTTGTTCCTTTAATGATTTTTTTTTACCCATATCGAGAAACCAACACATGCACTTTACGGGTGGAGAACTGCAAATTTTAGACCTATACTCGGGACTTAGGGCTCTTTAACAGCGATTGTCTTTTTCGTGCTAGTATCTACTGAGACACGTGAACTCAGTTTATATGGTCTCATCTGAAGGACCGGTCTCCATACCGTATCTCAAACACGCGAAGGAGAATCAACACCTTACTCGGCGACTCTAGAGCAAACGCTCTAACCACTTCACCATCCGGGTGACTGCTGAAATTACTTCATTTAAAAATAAATAAGATTTCCTATGAAAATCATTATCTTAAAACAAGATTTTGTTTCAATGAATGGTGATAAGGGATGATGAGCCTTTCATTCGTATGATTAATCCACTGGAAAATTTGACCTGGGTTGTTTTTAGAAAAAAATTCAAAAAGTAACATTAAAATGCCTTACTCATTGTATATCTTTTATACCTTATAGTTCAATGTACTGAGAGGGGCTGTGTTTGCCACTGCACTTGTTGCAGAGCTTGCCTTTTTACTCCTAACTGTGGAGACTGCTACAGGGAGTGGAGTGGTACACTATTAAATAGATGTCAAAGAAGTAAGCATAGTCTCTTATCTTTATATCATCAGATGAATTAACTGAATGCGATTTACTGCCATCAACATTGATTTTTATTGTGTTTTTTAAAGTAATATTTTTCTTGCTCAAGAAAATTCCATGAAACGAATTAAAAAGTTATAGTAAATAAAAACTTTTAAATGAATGGATCTTAATTTTTAATCATAAACAAAATGAACGAATTGAAGAATTTTTTCCTCGTGTGTTTGTATTTGAAGCATCCTGAATTCCAATATATTAGACACAAAATTGAAACGAAAATCAAGACTCTATTATTCAAAATCATAACTCTTATTAGGGTTATAGTCTTGAGGCCAGAAGAAGATAGTTTTTGGTCTTATGTGAAAATGTTCGCAAGAATTATATATTGTTTTAATTGTAAATGTACTTTTTTGCTTGGGCCTGAAAAAATGCTTTGGTTTCATATTTTTGTCATTAAGAGCAATATAGAGTCTCACGTGGGTTTTGTGGCCCTGTTCCCCATGTTGTTCTGATTACCATAAAGCCAAATTCAGTCTATTTCATTTTCAAAAGCGAAATAATTTAACTTATTGAAAAAGTGATATTTTATCACAGTGAAAAGAATAATCAGTTTTTTCAAGATGAAAAAATGAGAGAGAATAATTCTATTTTCCTTCCCTTCAAGAGAGAGTGTTGCAAAATATTCTCCATGGCTAGTTATGAAATATATAAAACCACCAGGACAGAGACAAAAGCTACTAAAATCCGTGTTTAAACGTTTCCAATCTTCAAATTGCTGATATTTGATGTTTCAATTCAATTCAATATTTTGTTTTTGATTATTTCATTTATATCAGTTTTGACATAGGATGTTGTGATATTTAAATGAACATTTCACCACTCGTGAAATGAATTCAATACAACTACAAATATTGAAAATTAAAAAAAAATCGTATCGCAGTTTCTTTTACGGCCTAATATCAACCCAAGCTTGAAATCGCTTTTAGATAAAGACAAAAAATCGGCAGGTTTTGACGGTCAATTTCAAAAAGATCAAACAGTAGAATATGGTTTTATTTAAAACAACAAAAGCCAAGAATTTACTATTACAAAACGGCATTTTCTTTAAGTATTTTAATACTAAAATGTTGATTTTGTCAGAACTTACATGTGCATTCCAACACACAGCTAGATGGTTCATTTTTTTTAAGTGTTTAATTCGTCTTATGCATTGTAATGCAAGTGTCAACAATAGTCCTACTTCCTAGTTTTTTAACCCTAGACTTTCAACATACATGTAGACTCCTTTCATTTAAGAATGCAAAAAATGAACAAAAAGTATTATCAATGATTTTTGTACTTCCAGAAAACATTGCCTACGGAGTGGATACAGCTTCACAGACAACAACTTTAGTTAAAGGATATGAAGCGAGTAAAGCAGTTGATGAAGATGAGGAAACCTTTTCGAGCACCCAGGCTGGCTACAATGTCACATTTTCCTTAGAATTTTCAGATGTCAAAAGATTAAAATACATATATATCTATTATTACGAACGAGGTGAGATTTTGAGTTTTTATGAGTAAAATTTTAATATGTAAGAATTATGTTAAAAACTTTTTTAACCATGCTATCGATGAAGTTGATTAAGTACATGTACAAGGGTCATGGTAAGTCAAAAATAAAATGTACGCCTGGGAATAAAACATTTCACAATCGAACAAGCTGAACATTTTGTTAATCAAATAAATTCAATCAAGAACTGGTAAATACCACGAATCTATGAGATACAAGGCTGTATTAGCTTGGGAAATGTTCTTTCTGACATAATTAATTTTATCAAATAAACTCTTCAATATGACTAAAAATAGTCATATTGCAGAGTTTATTTGATAAAATTAATTATGTCAGAAAGGACAGAAACTAAACTTATATATACTCTGTTTAGATTTTACTGGTCAGATGGAAGGCGGTAAACACTACTATGAACCATAATTTGGTAATCTCTCAAGGAACTAGAAATGATGTGGTGGAAAAAAATATTTGGAGATAATAAACAGTTTCTTTAAAAATCCAAATCAGGAGTAGAGCAAACACGGACCTCTAAAATATCAGAGGTTGGAGGATTGAGCGACCGTGCGCTCCTTGATTTGATCGGAAAATAACTACTTACAAATAACGGAAAACTCTGTCGACCCTAATGATATAACGATACAACAATTAGAATATAAACGTCATGCAGTCAACATTTGACTGAATAATACATGTAGATTGTATTTACTGACAAGGTAATTGTATTGAACAGAGAACTTACAAAATGATGAATTTACTCGAGACTGTTGATATTCTAGTTTCATCAACTTCTTTGTCAATAATCAGGGATTGGCAACAATTTGCTTTTCGATATGATTAAAGAAATCGCTGTGCTTTCAGTTTCGGATATTCAAAGTTCCTCTGAATGTCTTAGCAGACACTGGGCAGCAGAACAGGACTAATTAGCGAGTTTATTGTAGTCAGGACACTGTAACCTGTCAATTAGAAATTTAGACATGACTCATGAAAAGTGGTTGTTGTAAATTTTCTCTTCCTCTTAAATTTCATCTTTGGAAAATCGTTTAATGAACCAGATCTTCAAGAAAATACGGTCATCCGAAAGTACAAAGAGGGTCTTTTTGTTTTTCATCACACTGTCTTTTTTTTTCATTTCCTTCTTCCATCTTCCTTGGTAAAATATATGTGCCACAACAATGTTTGTTTTGTGCTTTCTGTCTGTTCAACTACATGTGTAGATTAAGAAGTCGAATCATGTGCTTATGGCCAAGTATATGAACCATGAACATCTGAAAACTATAACAAGCAAAAATTGTGACAAAAATGTGTTATAAATAACTAGAATTTCG